GAGCCTAGGAGTATGGGAGCAAGGGCCTCTGACAGGGCAGCTTCATTACCTAAGGCAATCTGTGCCACCCAATCCCCACTCCCTTTCAACTTCTGTGTCAGTGTCAGCAGCATCTTGCCCTTCTTACCAGAAGAAAGATCTGCCTTGTTTCTCACTTAAATCTCATTTCCCTGTGGGTTGCTAAGGGACTTGGGGCACACAGATAAATCTCTAAGTTGACAGGTCAGTGTGAGCGATGAAATGGAGCTCCGTGGGGGAAAGACTGTCTGGGAAGGTCTGAACCTTGGCAGTCAGGGAAGTGAGATCACCATAAACTTGCCCCGCCCCCCAGTCGGGGGCTGACACACATTTACTAAGAAACATTCATTGAACCCTGTTATGTGGCAGTGTGACTAAGAATCAGAGCCCAGTCCCTGCTTGCTCTCTGTGAGCCCCACTCCATGGGGCGAGATAAACAAATCATGTCACTTAGAAAATAAGACAGCCATGAGAGAGAGCAATAGTGAGGAGGAGGGGGGGCTGCTTTATCGGGGGAGTGCAAGGAAGTCTCTGCCAGGTGATAAGGTTGAGTTGATGAGATCTGATTATATCACAGGTCATGAAGAGTTCTGGATAAGAACATTCCAGAAAGAGACAATTGATGAGAATATCCTGGTATAGGAAGGAGCTGACCCTGTTTGAGGAAGACAATGATTCCAAAACAATGAGGAAGCCAAAGACACCAGCAGGGCTGCCTCATGGGTCTGCAGGGATCCACATTTTGCACTAAATGGAAAGGTGGGGAGGGAGCCGAGCAAAGAAGTGATGGGTTTTGACCTTCTGGGAGATAACTGTGGTCATATGGAGAATGGATCATAGAGAGGCCAGAATGGGAAGCTGGGACCCTAAAGGCACAGGGTGAGACAATGTTGGCTTGGCCGCAGTGGTCACAGCCGAAATAAGCAGTGCATACTCTCATTTCTGCATGGACTCCTGGAACCAGGCCTTCAGAAGCTATGCGGACATAGAGAAATGACAGCCAAAAGGGAAAGAATGAGTCTTGAAATACAGACTATGCAAGGAGATTGTGTTTCAGGTAGAGGGTTGGGTCAGCTTCTGAACGTGGAAATGCTTTTGGTTGCTCACAGTGACACAGTGGCTCTGGGAGCTACTGAGATATACCAAATTCTGCAAAGGATAGAGAGCTAGCCTTGTGGTGGAGCCACCACCAGCCTGCCCTTTACCAAGCCCTCATTTCTATCCAAGAAACCCTGAAGCCTGACTTTCACTAAGGCAGAGTCAAACTCTACCTTCTCCAGACTTCCCATATTAGAGCCACAGAGCCCCCTCCACCTTGGAAACTTCATGAGTCCGTGGGACACACCCTGAGCGACAGGAGAAGAGAGGTAGAGTCCTGTTCTAGAAACAATCTGGGACCCTTTGATAGTGGAGCCAGGGATGAAGCTTCCTTACATCCCAAGGAGTTGACTTTCCTCAGCATCAGCACCACTGCCCTAGGAAAGTGCCTGGAAGCAGAGTTAGCCCTGTTTCTGCGGGTGAAGAAAATCTGTGTGCAATGAGCTCCAATGGTAACCCTCAATGAGAAAGGGTGGAGAGCAAAATGAGAGCCCCTGAACCCTCAGAGAAAAAAGTGAGAGATGAGGGGCGCCACCCTTGCTGAGACAGAGCATTTACCCACTTGGGATGGCATGTCATCTGTGTTTCTCATGGATCCACCTGCCTCCTCACCCCCACCTACCTATTTCAACCACCTGGACCTTTCAACCAGCTGTCCCAATCACAGAAGCTCCCAAACACACACAAAATCCCAAGACTATGAGGGAGATGAGGAGCCATTTAGGACCTCAGGGTTTTGTTTTGTTTTGTTTTGTTTTTTTTAACTGCAAACACAGATTAGCTGTATAACTACTGTCCAACTATGGGGCTAGCCATGTTTACATTAAGATAAAATAATACTAAAAATTCAGGGCCTCGGGGCTAGAGAGATGGCTCAGAGATTAAGAGCACTGGCTGTTCTTCCAGAGGTCCTGAGTTCAATTCCCAGCAACCACATGGTGGCTCACAACCATCCGTTATGAGATCTGGTGCCCTCTTCTAGTGTGCAGATATACATGGAAGCAGAATGTTGTATACATAATAAATAAAATCTTAAAAAAAAAAATTCAGGCCCTCAATCTCAAGAGCCCATATGGAGTCCCTAGCAGTCATGGTGATTAATGACAGGTGTGGGACATCCCCATCATCTTGTAAAACTCATCTACATGGGGAGGCTTTGGGTCAGGGTCTCCAGAGACCTGCTTCAGCATTGCCTGTTGCCATGCGAATGCAGGTTCCCAGTCCTAGCTTGCCTCCTGCTGAGAACCTCTGGAGGGACTTTCAGCTGCTCATCAGGAGGCTCTGGTCTAGAATCCAGACCTGGCAATCTTCTGTCCCCTGAGTCCCAACAGTGGTACAGGCCTGTACAAAAGCATCACAAGTTCAAGGCTAGCCTGGGCAACTCAGCAAGAATCCTGTTTCAAAATGAGAAACATCAAAAAGGCTTAGTCGCTGGAGTGAGTCAGGTCCAGATTGTGGCTATGGTTGCACTGCACTGACCGGAAGGAACCCTGCTGGCATGACTATTCCCTAATTGCTTTCCCCAGCAAACCTCCCCCACACTCATGCTAGGCTGAATTCCCACTGTCTTTAAGAAAAGATACAGGACTACACCCTCATGCCACACTGGGAAACAAGTGCACCGTGGATGAGCCACAGAGCACTCAAAATCAGATCCGGCATCCAGTGACTTTAGACTTTTTTTTTATTTTATTTTATTAGTTCTAGTTAGGGAACAAGCTTATTTCAAGTCCCTTCTCCCTCTCCCTCCCCT